CGATGGACATGTGGAGTATGTTCCTGTGGTTAAATAGAAAGCCATTTTAAGTAGCTAGAACAGGATTTACCAGCCTAGAGAATTTGGTCTGCAGTGAGCAGAGGACTAGCAAAAGATCCAGATGACATAGTATTATGCTTTAATTATTTGCCTGAAACAAAGGCAGAAAGTTAACTTGTGCTCAAGGAAAACTTCTAGTAGCCTTCCAGTACCTGAAGGGGCTCCAGGAAGGATGGGGAGGGACTTCAGACAAGGGCAGGGAGTGATAGAACAAGGGGTGATGGCTTTAAACTGGAAGAGGGGAGATTGAGATGAGATCTGAGGAAGAAATTCTTCACTGTGAGGGTGGTCAGACACTGGAACAGGTTGCCCAGAGAAGTTGTGGCTGCTCCTCCCTGGAAGTGTTGAAGGCCAGGCTGGATGAGGCTTTGAGCAACCTGGTCTAGTGGAAGGTGTCCCTGCTGATGGCAGGGGGGGTGGAACTGGGTGATCTTTAAGGTCCCTTCCAACCCAAACCATTCTATGATTCTATGAAAAGGAGCCCGTATAGGAAACCAGTGACTGATTTTCCTAGATGTTGGAAAAAATGTATTATTTTAAATGGAAGAGGGGTACATAAGCCTTCATTTAGCCCATTTTTTATAGCTCCCATATTGTATATGGTGTACCAATAATTTGCTTTTTAAAGAGGAGCCTTATGTTCTTTGGAACAAAGAGGATCAAGGAATGCTTTTCTGGACAGGGATGAGAGCAGCCAGGAATTGGCAGCATCCAGTGATAAATCAGTACAGATGCAGTTTAAAGACCATCTCATTTTTGCTTTGAACACATAATCGACTAGATGTTTACAGCATGCTTCTGGATTTTTTTCCTGCTTGTTTGTAAAAGAAATAATACATTTATTGTTCTGTTCAGGCAAAATGCTTTTGATCTTTTGGTAGCACTGGGAAGAGCTGGAGGCCTTAACCTGCTGTCTTCCCATGGGGGTGGCAGCTCCCAGTCCAGACCAGACATTGGTCAGAGCTTTGCCAGCGATGCAGCAGGCGTAACTGAGTTTCAGGGAGAATTTGCTTAGGTGGTGTTGGAACCTTCTGAAAAAAGGTTTTCTCGTCTGAAGACAAGAGATGTTAAAAGGTAAAAAGAAAAAAAAATATAGAAAAACAGTTTTCAGGTATTTTTGTCCTAACTTGAGAGAAAAAGAGAGAAAATCCACAGGCAACAATGTTCGGGAGGATTATAGGGAAAGTTTCTGTTGTACTTAACTGCTCATGCATGATGTAATGCTTGCTCTAGTTGACTCTGAACAAGCAATTAGCCTGCAGTGTTTCCACTGATAAAAGAGTTTCACAGAATCACAGAATGATCGGGGTCGGAAGGGACCTCTGGAGAGTCCAACCCCCCTGCCAAAACAGGTTCACCCAGGGCAAGTTGCACAGGACTGCATCCAGGAAAGTTTTGAACATCTCTAGAGATGGAGACTCCACAACCTCTCTGGGCAGCCTGTCCCAGGGCTCCAACACCCTCACAGGAAATAAGTTTTCTTTCATGTTTA